TAGATCCGTATTGATGTCTTATTTTTATCGAAAATGCGTGCGTTTATTTTTGAAATTCCACATGTATATAACACGTAATAAAATATATACTAAAGTCGACGGCATACGATGCTTATTTTCCTGTTGGATTGTTAGTTGGATTAGATTCTTACACTGTCAGCATCGCAGATTTTAATCCAGCTAGCAATCCAGCAAGAAAACGCATTATGTGCTACTTAAATGTGTGCAATGCTTATCGTTAAAAGCGAGATGTAAATACGGACACATAATATATTTTCATAAAAATAAAACACTAAAATTATAAACATTTCTCTCTAAGAAATTTATTATAATTAACTCCAAGTTTGACAATTATATTTGCAAATTTTTCGCTTGTACCCTCTTAACAATTCTAGACTTGAGTATTAAGTAGACTTAAGTATCCATGAATATATATTTTATATTCTTCAGGCGGTGTCTTCATTTTCTTAATGTCAAACTTGGCTTCGCACGAAAACTTACTCACGAAGAAGCAAATCGAAAGATCGGGATTTTTGTTTGATGAACTTCCTCATGCGCGAACGTTTCGCAGGGTTAATGATCTGATTAGAGATGCGAGGGCGCGGCTGAGATATGAAGCCGATTTAAGCTTTTCGAGGGAGTCTTTCAAGCAAGAGGCCACAGCGCCTGGCAACACCCTCCGTCTTCCCATCGCATCGGAGCCCCTTACAGAACAGATATCGTTGCTTATGTCCTTGGCGAAGTAACTTTCGAATTAGTTACGAGTTTCAATTCGATTGTACTCTGTTGATATTTAATAAAGGTAAATTCATGGCTCATGCACAAGAAAATCGCGATCTTCTCGCTAATTGAATAACTAAGTATATGATAAAAATGTAATATGTTTTATATTATAAAAACACATTTAATGTACATGTATAATGTACATATATATACTACCTTGATCAAAAAATTTCCGGAATTCATTCAGAAAATTCAAAATACAGTTTTATTCATCAAAAGTGATATTGTCCCCTTCAAAGTATTCCCCATCGACTGCAACGCACTTGATCCAGCTCTCGAAACATTTCTGGAACTCTCTATTGTCGGTATAGCCATCAGAGCTGTCTTCGATTTTTCCATTACCTCCTTTCGGCTATTAAAACGCGTTCCCAAATGACTTTTTTGACTCGATCGAACAGAAAAAAATCGTAGGGAGCCATATCAGGTGAATTCGATGGCTGTTGGATGATATTCGTTTCGTTCTTGGTCAAAAATCACTCGTTCATTCGTTGTTGCAAATTCAACTCCATTTTTAAAACTGTAAAAAATCGAAAATACGTGCAGAGGTAGATGTACTCAAGATGGCGTAACTTTTATAAATGTCAAGCTATGGTGATAAAATTTGGTAGGAATGTCAATGATAGATGTGGCAACCTAACCAAAAAAACAGAACTCAAATCAACTGACTCAGAGCATCACCTTGTGATAATTCCGGGAACTTTTTGATCAAAGTGATATATATATATATATATATACATATGTTTATATAAGGTATTTTAAGTTCATGTTATAATTTCAAAAGGCAAATCTTTAGATTATTTACAGCCCAGGTCCTAAACTCAAGTTTTCAAAGTAGAGAAATTTAAAGTTTCTAGAAAAACTTTCTAGAATATGTCAGGTTCTCTGGAATATCTCTAACATAAATCCATTAGATAGATCGTTTATTTATGTTTTTATCGTGGGTTTATGTCAGATATAACTTGAAAATATTTAAGAAAAAGTGATTTTAATTACGTTTATTAAGACTTTTGGACTTTAAATGATCCAAAGAGGAATGAACTCTTGAAGTTATAATATGAACTTAAAATCCATTCTATAAGCATATATTCTATATATTCCAACAGATGATATCTTGACTATATAGACTTCAAAAACTTATTCACAATAATTGAAACATACTAAAAAAAATTATGAAATAAAATTGTCATTGTGTTAATGAAATTTTCATTGTATTCTTCGAATTTTTAAGATAATAATTTTGACTGAGAAAGAAAACAAGATATTGTATTTAAACATAAAAAGAACAATCTTGCTAAAGTATTATATCTAAAAATTTAGTTAAACACAAATCTGAAAATTATTTTGTTTGAACCGATTTGTTTGAATCGAAATAATTATGTAGAAAACTGATAAACTGATTGCTAAAACTCTTTACACCCTTGTCAGCAACATCTAAGCGTTTTACATAATTATTTGATGATTCTATAAATTATTTTCAGATCTGTACGTAAATTTTTAGATACTTTAACAAAACCGTTCTTTCTACAGTTCCTCCATATATTATAATTAGTATTAAATGATATATTTGAAAATATTTTTATTGTAAATTAAATGCGCGGATATTTTTGACGATATTAAAATATCTATTAATTATTTGCCATTAATTATATTACTATTTTTATTAACAAACAATTATTAGTATTGTTAAATTAATTGTGTTGAATAAATTGAAGCTCATCATGCTTAGAAAATTTTTCAAAGCACTTTGTAATTTATTTCGTCGCCGTTTGCTGTTTTACATTTTTAGCTAGCCGAGGAAGTACGAAAGACCATGCGAAAGCGTGATCGATCGTCGAAGTAGCGCTCGCAATTGCTGCACCCTTAAAACAGAGTATACATAGCTCCCCCAAGCAGCGCTCCCTCGCCTACACTCACTCTCTCTCCATCGCCTTTCTACCTCTCTCTGTTTTCGCTCGAAACACATGGCACAAGCAGGCCAGTCCTCATGATTTACAACTATTGCTCAGCAAATTCGATTACAATGATTCTGGGGTACTATGTAGCCTCGAATTGCAGGAAAGGCACTCGTTAAGCTGTATAGTCACTCAAGAGCGTTTACACAAATTAATTTCTTTTTAAACAATGATTTAATGTATTATTCATTTCATTATGCATTCAATCATTTGTCGTTATATCATTTATATCATTATTTTATTTATATTATTTTTTTGTATATGTACTTGTTTCTTTCATTGGCTTAAAAATATTCTTATTTCTTAATTTCTTAATTATTTGGTGCCTTTGAATCATTCCTCCCTTTAAATCTAATTCCTCTTCTTATTTTTGCAACCTGAATAAATAATAATGAAAAGATTTTAAAGATTATAAATCAAAGAGAGAGATGAAATACCAATAAGAATCAACATTAGTTTTTCACGTTAAACTTTAATGACTGAATAATTAAATTAAATTTAACGTAAACGTTTTATAGTTTTGTATTATTTTCAATAATACAATAATCGTTTATTTAGAAATTTGGTTCAATAATATAAATATCTCGTTTTATTGCCATGAGACTTTTACAATGACATGCATGAATATATAATCTTTGAATAAATGATTATTGAAGATTACTCAAAACTGTAAGTCGAAATGTTTACATTAAAAATTTAAATTTATTAAAAAACACATACGAAAAACTAAACTGTTGGTTCTTATAAGCATCTCATCTCTTCGATTTATATTCTGAATAAATGTTATCAATCGCAATTTCTTTTTCAAGTTTTTTTAGCTTCATTTATTTTATTTATATCTCATTTTGTTTACATCTCGAATGCTTATTTCTGTTTCAAGAGAAAATATATATTTCTTACGCGAGATATTTTGATGTATATTGATGTTACATTAAGTAAAAACATCAGAGAACGAATGCTAAGATGAGAGTTTAGGTCTAGCAGCACTATTGTTATTATTAGTTACACATGTGCTAGTCGCGTGTGAGTAGTAGTGGCACGCACGTTTCGACGCATGCATGCGTGAGCTTCGCAACTCAGAATTAACAGAATAAACAGTTATCGGTGTTCAATCGCGTGGCGTTAACGCGTTGTGACTCTTTGTGCATTGACGTCATTATCATATGGAAATTGTTCCATGCGTCGCCGCGTCGGTTTTACGCGCGTAACACCGGTGATACGAACGAATATGTTCGTTAGCGCGTCGCCGCGCGTTGAGCCGAAACTTCATCGGTTACGAATCAACATTCGATCCATACATGAACGTGGAATACATCCTATGAACTCCACATCACATAGCATCATCGATGCCGATAGAATGGATGCAGAGTTCGGCAGCACGATTGTGTGGGATGAAGATTAATTTCCGGCGATTGCCCGTTTTCATATCCGTAAAATAACGCGCATTGCGTTAAACACAATAGTCGCATAATCGATCTTCGCGCGCGGCTGCATCTTCAGCATTTCTACTTCAGCTGTGTTTCGATTCATAATACGAATTTTTCTTCTTGAAT